ATTTTTTATTTTCGGTAGAGATGGGATCTCACTATATTGTCCAGGCTGGTCTTGAACTCCTGGATTTAAACAATCCTCCCTTGGCCTCCCAAAGCACTGATATAATAGGTGTGAGCCACCAGGCCCAGCCTGCTTCATGTATTTTGAAGCTCTAATATAAGGTGCATAAACATTTAGGATAGTTATGTCCTCTTGATGAACTGACTCCTTTATCATTAGGAAATGACCCCCTTTAATCTCTGGTAATATTCTTTGATCCAAAACCTACTTTGAGTGAAATTAATATAGTCATGTCACCTTTCTTATGATTAGTGCTAGCATGGGAAACCTTTTATTTCCTTTTTTTTTTTAACCTCTTTGTGTCTATATTTAAAGTGGATTTCTAATAGGCAGCATATATTTGAGTCTTGCTTTCTTAATCCACTGTGCTAATCTTTGCCTATTATTGTTAAATATTTTGCCTATTATTGTTATTATTGCTAAATATTATTTTTGGGTCTAAATATACTATCTTGCTATTTGTTTTCTACTTTTTCCATCTGTTCTTTGTTCTCTTTTAATTTTTTAACGCTGCCTTTTGGATTATGTATTTTTATGACTCCATTCTATCTTTCTCTTTTTTTTAAAAGATTGGGTCTTGCTCTGTTGACCTGGCTGAAGTGCGGTGGCATCATCATAGCTCACTGTAATGTAGAACCTCTGGGCTCAAGCAATCCTCCCACCTCAACTTCCTGAGTAGGTGGGACTACAAGCATGCATCATCACACCTGGCTAATTTTTAAATTTTTTTGTAAAGATGGTGTCTTGCTACATTGCTTAGGCTGGTCTTGAACTCTCAGCCGTAAGTGATCTTCCCACCTTGGCTTCCCAAAGTGCTCAGATAATAGAGTGAAGCCACCATGCCCCGCCAATTTTATCTTTTATGTTGGCTTTTATTAGCTATAACTGTTATTTTAGTTGCTTTAGGATTTATAATATACATCTTTAACTTGTCACTGTCTACCTTCAAATGATATCGCACTACTTTTCACATAGGGTAAGAACCCTAAACAGTATACCTTCATTTTCCCCTCCTGGCCTGGTATTTGAAATAGACCTTACAAAAATGACAGAGAAGGTATAAATAAAATCCCAAGGATGATGTAAGCAAGGGAGACCAACAATCCATAAGAGAATTCATCACATTTCTAGAATACAGAAAGCAGAGGAGTGGTACCCACTGAAGAAGTGGATTCAGAAACAACTCCAGCTGGGAAGCAGAGGGGTTAAGTAGGAAGACAGTCAGCTAATCTGTCCAGGTGAGTCGCAGAGGGGTCAACTCAGAGCTTCTAGGCCTGACAGGAGTCACTGAGTGCAGTACTCATGGCAGTCAGGTGGCCACTACCCAAGTAAGACATGGGGGGACCTCCACATTCTGGCGTCTGGTTCCTCCCTGACCACCCTAGAGTGACACCTGCCAGGCAGTAAGTCCTGCAGTCACAGGGCTCCCAATCTGCTTTTTTATGATTTGACCCTAAACATCGTTAAGCATTTGAGGAAACTGCCAACTTGCCCGCCTGCAAGTGACAGACCAAGAGAAAAGAAGACCCCAGAGTAGCAGAGGTAATTTGAGAAATAGAAGGGAGCTTGGAGAAAAACTCTAACCATCTTCAGAGATTCAGGAATACTATGAAAAAAGAATTAGAGAAGGAAGGAGCTTTTGGCAAATAAAATTGGAAAATAAAATATAGAGAATCTTCTCAGAAAGTGGCACCAAAATATCAAGACAGTGTGAGAGAAAAGGATCAATCGGAGGTCCGATTCTGAATTCTAGAAAGGAGATCCAGAAAGAACAGAGAGCATGGAGAAGGAAAGAGAAATCGAAATTTCTCTGAGCTGAAGGATGTCATTGGCTTCAAAGGGCTCACTGAATTCCCGGCACCCCTTATGTCAAAAGATCCTTGCTGGCCGGGCGTGGTGGCTCACGCCTGTAATCCTAGCACTCTGGGAGGCCGAGGCGGGTGCATTGCTCAAGGTCAGGAGTTCGAGACCAGCCTGAGC